GGCGCCCCCCCCCCCCAGCCCAAGGCAGCTGCGCAGCGCGGGACCTGTTGGCCTCGGGCGATCCTGTCCTCCGGAGCGAGTCCCGCCCGAGGGGAGCGGAGGGTCCCGGGCGGGGGCAGCGGCGGCCGAAAGCGCCCCGCTGCCCGCAACGCAGCAGACTCCCTCCGCCGACCCCTCCCCACGAGACGCGTGTCCCAGGCAAAGCCGCGCTCGCACGAGCGGGGAAGGGGAAAGCGGGGGGTCGTCTGACTCCGGGCAAAAGCCGCTCTCCTCGGGCTGCTCGCGCCCCTCCGCCGCCCCCCGGACCTGGAAGCCGCCTGCCGTCCCCTCGGCTGGCACCGGGGGGGGGAAGGGGGCGGCTGCCCCGCCTCGGCTCCCTCCGCCCGAGCGGCCCCCAAGTGGGAGCGCCCCGAGGGGAACCCGCCGCTCCGCTTCCCCCGGGTCCCGCCGCAGAGGAGCCAGCCCCGCCGGCAGGAGCCGCGCCGCCCCCCACCCCCGCACCCGCGCCCCCCGTCCCGAGCCCCGAGGAGCCCGGCCGGGCGCAAGTTGGCCGCCGCTCCGGCCCCGCCACTCACCGTCGCGCGGCTTTTGCCCGGGCCAGGCGGGCGGGCGGCGAGGGGAGAGCCCGCGGCGGCGGCGGCGGCGGCGGTGGCGGCGGAGGGCAGCGCATCGCCGGCGGCGCGGCAGGCGAGTTCGCAGCGCCCGCTTCCAGCCTCTCTAGCGGGGCTCGGCGGCGCGGCCAGCAAATCACCAGCCGCTGCCTGACGTTGCCGGGCTGGCGAGGCGCGTCGGAGCCGCCCCTCCCCCGCCCCCTCCCCTCCCCTCCCCCCCTCCCCGCGAAGCCCCGGCCGGAAACCATCTTGACTGCTGGCACCGGCCGGCCCCGCCCGCCCCGCCCCCCCCGCCTGGCCGGGGCTGCCCTGACCCCTAGTGCCCGGGCCCGAGGAGCACAGCCGGACCTCGGCCCCGCAGCCCCCGGCGCCTCCGCTGCCCCGGAGCCCCATCCTCCGCCGCCCCCTCAAGGTGGGCGTGGGGGGGGGGGGGGGCGCGCCCGTCGGCAAAGCGGCACTCTGCACATGCTCTGGCCCCCCGGGGGGGGGGCGGTGTCCCGGGACAGCGCTCGCCGGTTGGGCCCTTCTCCCCCCGCCCCACGCAGCCTAAGGGGCAGGGGCAGAAAGGTGGCCCCCCCATCGCCCCCTCCGGCTTCGGGCGGGATGGAGAGTTCCAGTCCTGACTGCTGCGGGGGATTTGGGGGGGGCGGTAGAAGAGGCAAGAGCGCTGTCGGAGTGGGGGGGAGAAAGAGGGAGGGGCCAGCCCGGTGGCGGCCCCGCCCCCCCTCAGCCTCCCAGGGAGCGAGCGGGGCGCCGGTGCTGGACAGCGCTCGCCGCTTGCCCGCTTCCAAAATGGAGGCGGCGGCTGCAGCCGGCGAGGGCGGGCGGAGGAGAGACACGCCCCTTTCGGCCCCGCCTCCGCGCACCTGCCGCCGCCGCTGCTGCCGCTGCTGCCCGCCTCGCCCGCGCCCCGACTTGGAGCAGCCCCTCCGTCCCCGGCAGCCTGGACGCCGCCGCCGCCGCCGGCCGGCCCGAGCGCGCCCGTGCAGGGGCTTCCCCGGCCGGCCCGCAGCGCCCGCCCCGTCCAGGAGGAGCCCGGAGGCGGCTGGGCAGCGTTGGCCGCTCCGGGCCCGTTTGGGGGAGCCTGGGACCCGCCTGGAGCCCCGCCGGAGTTGCGGCGCTTCAGGCATCGAGGAGGGGGCTCAGCTGGGGAAGAAGGCGGCTCGGCCTGGCTGGTCTCGGGAAGCGAAGGGCCAGGGGAGACCGGAGAGCAGCAGCCTTCGGGTATTGGAGGGAGGGGCTGCCCCAGAGAGGAGCGGGGCGGGGGGGGGGGGGGTCAAGCTCTTTTCCAAAGCCCCCAAAGGTCAGAAAAGTCAAAATGGATGGAAGCTGATCCAGGAGAGATTTCAACCTGGAAATAAGGAGGGATTTTCTGACGGGGAGAACGTGGAACCGAAGTTGCCTTCAGAAGTTGTGGGAGCTTCATCCCTGGAGGCTTTCCAGAAGAGACCGGACTGCCATCGGTCAGACGTGGGTGTAGGGTCTCCTGCTTGGGTGGGGGTGGGGGGTTGGACTAGATGGTCTACGAGGTCCCTTCCAACTCTGTTATTCTGTTATCTGGGGGGAGATGCCAGTGAGGGGCTGCAAGAAAGGAGAGGAACCGAGTCCATATCCCACCCTGGGCTGCCCTGCAGGACCCGGGAGTGATGCGGGAGGGGAGACGGGACCCTACCTGAGGTGGCATTCGGCTGGTTCCGAGCAGTTCTGGAGAACCGGTAGCGGAAAGTTTGAGTAATTCAGAGAAGTGGGAAATCCCACCTCTGACTGGAGATTTTGCAGTCTCCTTCCCCTGCCACGCCCACCGAGCCACGCCCGCAGAACCGGTAGGAGAAAAAAAATTGAACCCCACCACTGGGCCCTAAGCCCTTGGGAGGGTCTCCTCCAAGGAAATCTGCTCTGGGGGCGCAGGGGTGTCTCTGCCAGCCTGTGCACCCCTGGAGCAGCCGCCTGGGATTGCTCAGGGCAGGGACGCCTGCAGAGAGGCGAAGGGGCCACCCAGGGGTCATCCTTCCCTCTTATTTGTTGGAAGTTTCAGAGTGGATGGGAAGCGGCCGGGGAAGGTGACGCCTCGTTCCGTTGGATTCCTGGGTTCTTCCCCTAAGAATGTTGGATCAGAAAAACCAACGGGTGGAATTATGAACTATTTCCCCACAATTTGAAAAGAGCCAGGCTGCCTCCTCCTCCTCCTCGCCTCGCCCTTTGCAGTGGTTTCTGTCCTCGGGTGGTGCCAGAATAAGTCCACCTTTGCTCTACCTGCTCACTTGCAAAACTTCACCTGATCCCATTCCCTGCCTGAGCTGGGCCAAAATGTTCCCCACAAGAAGAAGCGGTGTGAAGACACACACACACACACACACACACACACACACACACACACACACACACCAGTCCCCTCCTGGATTCCATCCGTTTCCCTGTGCTTCAGAAGCAAAGTCCTAAAGGTGTAGCTGGGCTTTCTTCTTTGAAGACGTTTCGCTTCTCATCCAAGAGGCTTCCTCAGCTCTGACTGGATGATGGGAAGTCAGAACTGAAGAAGCTTCTTGGATGAGAAGCGAAATGTCTTCAAAGAAAAACCAGAAAGTCCGGTCGCCTCCTGAAAAAAGCACCTGTGGGACAGCTGTGACTTGAATGACGGAGATGCTCCATAGACATTTAGAAGCAAAAGTTTTTTGAAAAGCACCTTCAATTTGGCTTCCAGAGATGCGGCTTCTTTAGAAGCAGGGCTGTCGTTCCGTGTCCAGCTGAGGCTCCTTGCAATTTTAGTCAAAAACCAAGCAAGTGAGCTGGCCAGAGTGGCGGGACATCCTTTGCAGAGCAGAGCCCAGGAGAAGGCAGGGCCTGGCCTGGCCCTGAGATGCTACAAATAGGCCATGACCCAATAGTGTTGCCAGTGAAATAGCAAAATAAGAAATGCATTAAGGACAGCGATGCCCCAAGGCTCATGCCAGGGCGAATGTAATTTGCAGAAGGGAAAAAGGCTGATAATTATAATGGTGTTTAATGTATGCAGGGAGCCGATAAGAGCACCTACTTAGCTGGAACAGCCTGGGAGCGAAGGGCAGGGATGGCTAGGAGAGCAGGACCCTCTCCCAAGCCCTGAGCTGAGCTGCGGAGAAGCACCAGGACGCCTCCGGGCTGAGCTTATTATGCCTTGCAGCTGAAGGAAAGGGTCCATCGGTTATTCTGGGATGGGCCAATGGCCTCCTAGGTAAAGCTGGTTTTAAGGCCTGGCCCTTTTGCAGGTGCCAAAGACCCCCAGGGGGCAGGAGGTCCTCTGGAGTGGTGGCTTCTAGTAGAAAAAGCCATTCTGTCCAAACACACCTGGAACCTGCAAGAGCCACGGATTCTGGCCTGATTGCCTGTTGTGTGAACCATCACAACTTTTCAGAGCATGACCGGCCACACTTGGTGTCAAGACCCGAGAAAGCAAAGTGTCTTTCATCAGGAATCGGCAAAGGACACGTAGAAGAGACGGCTGGAAACTCAAGAGTGGGAGCCAGAATGGGCTACGTTCTAATTTCTCTCCTGATTAAGGAGACTCTTCGAAGCTCAGGATTGAGATGAGGGCTCCTCGGAGCGTGGTGGCTTTCTTGTAGACGTTTCAGGACCCAACTAGAGAACATCATCCGTGCTACAAGGGGATGGGGTTTATGGAGGAGGAGGAGGAGGAGGACTATGGAGTCCTTGGTGCTCTCTCAGGTTGCAGCACTGCTAGTTAGAACAAATGCATTAAGTTACTTTTTTTTGCTAGCACTGACGATGTTTCCTAGTTTGAGTAATGAAAGGTCTACAAGAAAACCACCAAGCTCAGAGAGCACCCAGGACCCCTCTGCCTTCTCTAGCTGAAATCAAGTCCGTGCAAATGCAGAATAGAAAACTTTGGAGCTCTGCCAAAAAGGAGCAGAAACGAGGCTTACAGTACCTCCTTCTCTGCACCGGGAACCGTTGCAGGCAGAGCAGAGGTGGGAAGGACGACTCCTGTCACATGCTTGCTCCTGTTTTTAATCTCTGAGATCCTGGACAGAGGGATCCGGCCACGTCCCCAAGGGAAGAAGGGCTCACCTGGGAGGTTAAGCCTGCAAACACTTGGAGATTTTAGTCAGCTGTGGGCCAGGACCGTTGGGCTAGGCAGCAGCCCACATTCCAGAATTTCATTCTCTGATTTCCCTGAACCAGCTGGGAGCTTATTGTCAAGAGTGACTCAGCAAGAGAGGGGAGCTTCCATTGCGTGACAAAATGGCCCTGCTCCTTTCCTCTCTCTGGCAAGGCACTTCAGCTCATAATTGCCATAAAATGCTTCTTGAAGCGCCCATGAACTAATCATCTTTAATAACCCTTATATAAGGTAAAGGTAAAGGTTTCCCTCGCACACATGTGTGCTAGTCGTTTCCGGCTCTAGCGGGCAGTGCTCATCTCCGTTACAAAGCTGAAGAGCCAGCGCTGTCCAAAGATATCTCCATGGTCATCTGGCGGGCATGACTAAATGCCTTCGAAGGCGCACAGAACGCTGTTCCCACCAAAGGGGCCCCTATTTTTCTACTTGCATTTTGTACGTGCTTTCGAACTGCCAGGTTGGGAGAAGCTGGGACAAGTAACGGGAGCTCACACCCTCACGCAGTGCTAGGGATTCAAACCTCCGAACTGCCGACCTTTCAGGTCGACAAACCACTGAGCCACCATGTCCCTGTCCTACATTTTCCGTAGAGTTAATGTTGGAAGGAGCCACCTGGGTTGAGCGGAAGTGTGTGTGTTTCACCAAATTGGCTGCCCACTGGTGTATTTTCTTTCCTCGTCCTCAGTATGTCCATCTCTTCCCTTTGACCCCCAGAATTGGAACAGGATCACTTAGCCTGTCATCTTCAAGGTGACCCCCCCCCGACTTTTCTATGTCCGTGCAGTCATCAATTTTTATTAGTTTGAAATATAAAATGCAAAAATGCAAAGAAAAATGAGAATGATAGGAAAATAGGGAAGGAAAAGGGGAAAAGAAAGAAAATCATTGACTTCCAACTATTTTGGGTGCAATAGAATAAGGTAATAATGTGCGACCTCAACTTTTAACTTTTGCATCATAATATAGATTATGCTCTTCTGTAACAACAAACCTATCTAATCAGCAAAACCCAAAATCAAAGTTCCATTGTTTTCCACCTCAAGCACAAAGCCCAGAAGCAGTTTCCAAGTGGGGAAAAATTAATTGTATTTCTCAATCAAGGCCATCAATGTAGCCATCCTTGCTAACTCCATCAATTTTTGCAGCCATTCATCCTCCAAAAAACAGCCAGGCTCAGACAAAGTTAAAGCGGGGAACTGCCCCCTTCAGAAGGGCCCAGAGGATTTTAGCCTTCCAAGGACGGGATGGACAAGATAGGACATTGCCCAAGAAGAGAAGGGAGATTAGCATATATCAAAAGTTTTGTGCAAGAGGGAGAATTTGAGTTAAGATCTTATCTCATCAGACACGCTGACCACTATAAACGCCACTTCTTGTGAAATGATGAAGATTGTAACAATCATTTATAGGTTCATTTAATTTTATTTCATTGGGAGGGAAGATTTCAAGAGGAATTCAAATGGTGAACCTTCAAAAAAAAAATTCCTGTCAAAATTCCCAAGATCCTCTCTGTTACCTCCGCCATTCTTGAGGAAATGAAAGAACTTTGCATAATTTCCTGAGAATATAATCCCATTTATTGGGGGGAGCAGTCATGGTTTTCCAAGAAAAGCAGACTCTGCACTTGTGGTAGTACACTAAGGAGGAGGAGGAGGAGGAGGAGGAGGAGGAGGAGGAGGAGGAGGAGGAGGAGGAAGGAAGGAAGGAAGGAAGGATTTTTCAAGATGATAAATAGCACCATGGAGGACTTCTTCTCAACCCCTCAGGCCTTCCCTGGCAGAGAGGTGAGATGGCTTCTTCTGAGGTTTACAACGAGTGTCCCACTCAGGTAGGGCCACCCATGAAGGAAGCCAATGCTGAGGAACGTGGACTTCCATCTCTTATGGCTTCAGTTGAAAGACCCTCATGATTCTTCCTCCTTTTGACCTAGATGACTACAATGCAGGAGCATCTTCTACTATCAGAGAAATGGTTTTTGATCTCCTCCCAGAGATCTAAAGCCTCATCAAGTAGCTACACCCAACTGTTACTGGCGAGTTGCCAAGTTATCTATTAACCCCTTTTATTTCTTTAATATATTTGCATGAGATACAGCAGCCCTTGGTCTCTTATCCTGCTAGAAATTCCAACGCCCCTGAGACCTCTGATAGTTTTGTCCACCAAGACAATTGACAAAAGTCTTTGGGCTTGAAGCGGTTACAGAAACCTTCATATCTAAACAATGAGAAACTTCCGGAGATGACCGCATACCTTTGCTCGTTGATGGATACCGACGTTATTCTCGGTTGCGTTTCCATTCTGCTCGACTCTAAAGAATTCGGGTGGATAACAACTGGGGGTGCAACTTTGCATCAAGAATACTTCCTGCAACTTTTCATGGCGGAGACCCTCCTTCCCGTTCCTTTTAAAGCCCAGTCGATATCATGGAGAGAAGGGCTGTCCACACAGATCCCAAACCCTTGTCTGGATACATCGTTGCTCGCTCTGCTTCTTCACAGGGTCTGGATCAGATGCCTTCAGATGCTCCTTAAAAGCCCAGCTACAGTTTTGCACTTAACCATGGATTCCTGTGCATCCACACAGCCCCCTCCCCATCCCAAAACAACAACAAAAAAACCTAAACCATAATTCTAACTACAGCCAGATTGGGTTCTCAGCCACTGCCCTTATTTCCTTGTACGATAGCTTTTGGCCCCCTCATAACATAAAAAGAGAGAGAGAACAGTACCTGGGATTAACTGTGCACAGTTAAATGCACGCTACATTTCTGTCTGGTGCAGAATTGAAGGAATAATGGGCTTTGCGGGTCCCAAGGGGCTGTTTCCCAAGAAATTTATGTCCAAGGGGTTGAGCATTGAGAATTCCTAAGGGCAGAAACGGAGCAACTCAGGAGCAACAGCAAAGCAATTGGGCTGAAATCAGGCATGGCTCCAGCCAGTCAATAAGATCAATTGCACATTGAGTAAGGAGGGTTTATAATAAGAGGTCTTGGTCGAGGGACAGAGCAGCAGACACAGCCCGCGGGGAGAGGCTGAAGTTTCACAGGTAGCCCATCAGAGTTTGGCAACAGCAGCCCTGGCTAATCGAGACTCAGCCTCGGTGGTGCAATTCCCTCGGAATAAATGAACAGATCTGTTCCTTTGTCTTAAAAATGGCAGGCGGGTTTTGAAGCTGTGGAGGGCCACTGATTTAGAAGAAAGTGGCCGGAGTCGTGGAGGGCATTGCTATCATCTTGAACAGAGATGCTATTCAGCCAGTTCTGACCAGTTCTGGAAAACCGGTAGTGGAAATTTTGAGTAGTTTTAAGAACCGGCAAATCCTACCTCTCCTCTGCCTCCTGAGTCCCAGCTGATTGGCTGAGAGAACGGAGCTGGAAAGCAGGTTAGTGGGGTGGGGAGGGAATGGGGATTTTGCAGTCTCCTTCCTCTGCCACGCCCACCAAGCCACACCCACAGAATTGCTAGTAAAAAAGTTTGAATCCCACCGCTGCTCAGAATAGGCCAGGCTGAGGACAGCCCAGGGCAAGGCATGCACAGAGACTCCACGTACATAGAAAACAGAGAGACACAACACAAAGAAAGCACAAACCAACACACAAACGCAGAGGCAAGACACTACTTTATTACACACAGAGTCATTCCCTGTGCACCACTTCCTATGCGCCTTCTAGGAAAGGCATGGGAAGGATCCCTGGAGGCACGTGCCATGTGTTTTCCCTAGCTTGTGTAACAAAATCATAACAATGGTTGAAGAAGTCTGAAGAAGTAACACAACAACTGCCTAATTTTCATGGACTGCATTTCTGGGCAAGAAGGAGACACTGCCCTTTTGCATCCACTTGGGATTGGGGGCACTCGATCCCGGTCTCTTCGATCCATTTAATGACAAAGCCAGCTTGTCTCACTGCCTCTTCTACCATCTCCTTCTCCAGGTAGAGGGCTGAGAACTTGCGTTGGCCCACCGTGTAGTAATGCTCCTCAAGGGTTGAACAAAACAGGAGGTGCCCGCCCGGTTTCAGGAGGGAACTGATGTTCCTGAATGCCGATTGGTAGGTGGGGATGTCCTTGCAAGCCGCATCGAAGCACAAGCTGGAGAGCAGGCAATCTGCGGGCGGAAGAACCAGCGGGGCCAAAGGGTTGGGTTGGGTCACATCGCATTTCAGGTACCGCTTGACGGCTCTTCGGACTTTCTCTTCCTTCTCTGCCCACTTTTCCCTGGGAAGAAAAGACAGGAAGAATATGACCCGCCTACCTCCAAACCTTGGTCACTCTAGAGATTCCCTTCTTTTTACGGAGGGAGATAGGTCAGGTCTCCCAGGCCTGCTGTCCTTCAAGAACAGGAATGCCCTCCTCTCTAGAATTCTCCTTCTTGCCTAGGTTCAAGTATCAGCCTGCAAAAGGCAAGGGCAGGATTCCTCAGCCTTGGCAGTTGTTGAGATGTTTGGGTTTCAACTCCCAGAATCCCCCAGAAACACGAGGAATTCCAGTCTTGAGTTTCCCCATGGAAAGCTACAGACATGGAGCTTCTACGGCAGTCACCAATCTCTATCTTGGTACCACTACCTCACAAATGGGGAGGGGGATATAAATAATTTCAATAAACTAATTATGAGCCATGAATAACTATGTCATCATAAAAATTTCATGATTTCTGTCCCTGGATAAAATACCAAGATGGAAATAGGTGATGGAAGCCTGTGTGATGGTGTCTCCACCTTGGCATCTTAGGGTTGGTGTGGAAATGGTCAATTTATATGTTCATTGGCTAGTAGCCAAATTAGAAGAATGTGATTGCATAACGTGTCAATTGAAAATGGAGGAAATGGGATAAGACCTACCCAAAATCTGAATGGGAAGTCAGGAGGACTCTGCTTCGTTGTTGTTCAGGGTCTCGGCTCCTTTAGAGGCCGGGACCCTTTTGCCCTGGGCTTGACCCGTCCCGTTCTCCTGGTTCCCACCTGATTGGCACTTCAGAGCTGCCAGTCGAGCGAGAGAAGCGCCAACCAGGAAAAACTAGGCAGGAATCCAAAGGAGGAAGCCTGGATTCTCCACCAGAACTTCTGAGCTTAGGAGAAACTTAGCCTCCAGCGTCACTAACAAAGCAAGGCTCCTTTCAGCGCCCGCTTTCTCCCAATACAGCTGTACCACACGAGCAGCTCATTTTTAACCAAAAGGGGGGCTTATTTATTTTTAGGCCCATTTCTCCCCTGAGAAGCTATGACTAATTTTTGTCTTCCTCCTTTGGATTCCTGCCCAGTTTTTCCTGGCGGGCGCTTCTCTTGAGGATGGGAGGGGTCAAGCTCAGGGCACTCGCTGCCAGCTGCAACCTGCAGGGACTTCAGTCGGTCAGCATTCGACTTTCTGGGGACGGTGCCTGACCTCTAGTGGCTTCAGAGGAGAACTTGGTGGACCTCTTCCAACTTGAGTGGAATGCCAAGGCTTTGAGAAGGCCTCCTCTCCCACCGTGGCATCGCCCACCTTCCAAGGCCCTTCTAGAAAGCAAAAGGGCCACATTTATTTTTGTTTTTAAAGTGGATTCTGGTCATTGCAGGCTATTAGAGCCTCGGTGGCGCAGTGGTTAGAGTGCAGTACTGCAAGCTACTTCTGCTGCCTGCCGGCTGCCTGCAATTTGGCAGATCGAATCTCACCAGGCTCCAGGTCGACTCAGCCTTCCACCCTTCCCAGGTGGGTAAAACGAGGACCCAGATTGTTGGGGGCAAGAGGCTGACTCTGTAAACTGCTTAGAGAGGGCTGTGAAAGCCCTGTGAAGCGGTATATAAGTCTAGGTGCTGTTGCTATTGCTATCTCTGCTGCTGTTGCGCCCCCCATGCTATGAGGAAGGGCTAAAGGGAGCCCTTGGCAGGATCCAGCTGGGCTAAGAGCTAGGCGCATGCTAGAAATCCCTTTTTCTTCTGGGAAAGATGAGATTCTGGAAGGTTTTCAAATCCCGGTGAATCCATTCTGCCAGCCTTCCTGGGCCAATTCTTTTACCTACTTCATTCCAGGGGGAAAGAGAAAGAAATATGCCCCCATATTCCCCCCCACAACACTGTTCCTGACCCCCGCAACCTACGGAGCTCTTTGCCCCGGAGAGCTGTAACATTATTTGTGAACATTTTTATGACACCAAACGGTTCCTGCCGGAGCGGGTGCCATTCTTTAGCTGGGAAACCATATGGCACGCCGCGTAATAAATAAGGTATTGTGATAGTTAATGAACCTAATTGCCAGCGAAGACTTTAATACAAAGCCGAGGATGCTGAGAATTTAGCGTGGCATCAGGGAGCTCCCCCGACTTCTGTGGCTTAATTTAAGTTCTATATTGCAAACTCCAGAAAATAATTCTAAACCCTCCTGCTGGAAAAGCAACCTGCTGCTAGACTGTGATTATACCGCATTGCTAAAAAAAAAACCCACACACAAAAACAACAACCCCAAACCCTAAAAAGCAGAGCTGCATTTATTTTATATCTTCCGTTTAACCCTTGCTAGGGTAGCCACGCCAGCTGCTTAAGGCCAAGCCAAGAAGCCAAAATAAGACAAGATCTTGAAAGCGGAGCTCCCTCTTCTCCAGGCCATTCTTTCCACTTTAATGCCAGCGGCAAGGTCTGCAGACAGCTTGCAACATGGTAATTTCGGGAGTCGAAGCAGAGAGACTCTGAGTAGTAGCCAAGCTGCCATGGTTTACCCATCCAGCAACTTCTAACTGCCCTTCGAAGAAGAAGAAGAAGAAGGAGAAGGAGAAGGAGAAGGAGAAGGAGAAGAAGAAGAAGAAGAAGAAGAAGAAGAAGAAGAAGAAGAAGAAGAAGAAGAAGAAGAAGAAGAAGAAGAAGAAGAAGAAGAAGAAGAAGAAGAAGAAGAATCCATTCAATTTCACCACTGCTCTTTTAAACATTTCTTAAACATTGTCACTCCTGTTGCTGACCACCTGTGCTCCAGAGCAACGTTGCAAGAAAACCCCTTGGGCCTCAGAGGAGGACAGGTGGTGGAGGGTATAAC